TTCAATAAATAATATGATCACCAAGTTACATTGAGACTACAAAGAAGCTGATTTGAAAAGCGTGATAAGATAACCAATATAAATAGAAGTAATGAAAATATTGTGCGTTAAAAATTAAAATAAACGATTATCTTCTCATTTGTTCTCGAAGAGTTTTGAGTTACGAATGATAATCAATCTATTCTTTGACAAGATTAGCTGGAAAACATTACGCGCTGTCCTTACAAATTCATGCAAAGTCCTTTCTTTTCGGACAAGATTCCGGGCTTTTCATTATTTACGTACCAGCAAGTAATCAGATTTGCGACAACTTGTTGCTTACCGGAAAGCGCGCGCGGAAAGACGAAGTTCGAAGACACTAAGGCGGAGATTCGCGCTAACAAACCGACGAAAGATACAAGGGAAAAAGAGAGAAAGAGAGAGAGAGAGAGAGAGAGAAATAGAGAAATCAGCCCCCGTGGCCATTAAATTAATCAACCGCTCGACCCGGGAAAACTAGCGACGGGTCCCAAGTCTGAAACTCTTCGTCATCCGCGATCGTTTGTACACCGCTGTCGCATTTCCCTCGGTCGCCGTCGCTTCTACTTTCCGGGAACAACGACGATGACGACGGAATAGGGTCACCAGGGCTAAAAAAACGAACGACGTATTATAGATCTCGCAATACGACCGAGCGAGAATGCGGAGCCCGCAGAGTGTCGGCTCGCAAGAAACATAACTCGTGCCCGCGTGTGAGTTACTACGTCCGCCGCCGACTCCGGTAATGAAACATAATGAATTGTAAAGCAAAAAAGAATTTTCAGTTACCCTGCACCGCTGTAGCTCGCGAGGGTGGCTCGCGGGGACTCGCGCTCCGCGGTTAAATAATGTTTCACTGCGGCCCATACTTCTAGTTGCAAGAACCAGTCTCTCCGGCGAAACTACTTCCAGCTCTGCGTTTCGTCGTCGAGCTCGACTCTGAGAGTGAACTATAATTACAGATTTTTACGCAACACGTTAGTGACGCGAGCCGCGAATTGAGGACGGTCTCCAGAGAGACGTTTGCCGCATGTTTTCACGCGCAAAAATAATAGAGGAACGACCATAACCAGAGAGCTCCATTTCTGCGCGATGCATCTTAGAGAATAGAATGAAACTGGATATAGGCATATTACACTGATCCACTTGTTAAATAGATAATTTTGGATAATTTTTATGTATTTTTTATGCTAACTTTAAAAATGAGGTTAGCTTTTATTCTATGCTCCAATTTTTGGTAACTGATATAATATTTTTTAACTTATATATTTTGCTAACAAGCTCGTTGCAGGAGATCTTTTTCCTAATTAAAATAATTTATTTTTATTTCAATTCTTTTATAAGGAATAGAAAATTATATTCAGTAACTATTCTCTATGAAGCATTTATTTATTTATATCTAATTAGAAAAAATAAGTAAAAGAAGGCATGTTATTCAAAACTCTTGCCCTCTTCATAAATTGATAAAAATAGATTCAAAATCAGTGTAAAAAATACTATAAGTAACATCGATTTATTTAACATAAAAAAATGAAACGTTCGTTGACCAATATTATTCTTTGCAAGAAACGAAGGAATATCAGAAAATTTCGAGAAGTCTACTTCCCCATTAAAGAGAAATTAACGTGATAAGTTTTCTTCTCATGATTTAACAATTTTATTAAAGATTTCATAACAAGTCGAGATTCTACTAAAACTTCTATTAAAATTAAGAAGACTGAACAGTTCTTGCAATCAATTAAAAGTTGTACCTCCTAGAGAACGTTCTATAAAAAATTACAAGTGTTTTTGCATTCTGCATCAAATACATACAAGAGCTTTCTAATAATGGAAACTATTTATATCACAACAAGACGATAGATAATACAGAATGCATTGAATCGTGTCTTTCTTAGATCCGGTTTCTCACAATTGCGCAGCGCATTGTGATCAATACCGAATCGAGAAGATATACTAAATAATGCTAAACATCGAAAGTTCTGTAGTTATTTCGCTGTACCGACGCGGAGGGAAATGCTCAGCGGTGGATTCGAAGTTCGCGAAGAGTTTCGCGCAGGGATATAAATATTTTCCGTGTGCTTTTCATTAACTGTTTGTTTACTTTTTAGTCCTTCAGTCAGAAAGGCTAGCGATGAGATACAGAAGGCTCACCTTAAAAACGTTGTGTTTACAGAGAGAAGCGTACTTTTCTAAGCGTTACTGTAAATAAGTAATATTTTCGAGTAATATTTCCGAGCATAAGATATTCAATATTTATGTGTACCATAGAGATATTTATATAATACAAATCTCATCTCTCATGAATAATTATTATTAATTATCGTCAATTCAATGCCTTATACGAATGGCAACCAATATGGAATTTAACGATAAAAATATTTAAAGCGGCTAAATATCTAAATATTATTATAAAATATTTGAAATTGCAAAATATTATTGATCATCTGGAGACTACATTGAACCCTCAGATTGTTTGTTTTGAATTATTAAAAGGGGCAATCTCATACAATGTTATATAAAATAATTGTACAATAACATTGAATGTCTAGGAGCTGCTTAAAATGTCGTTTTAGAATTTTGTCATACAATTTTATTACTAAGCAAAAATAATTACTATTTTACTCTAAAACCTTGTATATTTATTTTAGGAAAGAATGCCTGTATTTTTTTAATATCAAACCAATTTGCGTATAAATATATATTTCCATCTAAAAATAACAGAATATTTTTGTAAATATTATAGGATACGATTATAAATACAGAATAATGTGATCCATTTTACAAATTCAATTTGATAAAGAAACTTTATAAAATATTGAATAGCATAATGGTCCGTCAATTCACAATGGAATGGTTCCAGCGACGAAATTTTCCTTAAAGTCGAGTGGTCAGCCAAAAAACCTAAATACGGGAACATCACCACCAGTTCGAGATCTCAACGACTTGCGATCAGAAACGATTCAGATGCGATTTGAATTTCGAATGCGCGCAGATCTGCATACGTAAACATGCGAGGAGCACGCCATACTCGTTCGCTCGCGGGATATGATCGCGTACCCATTGCAATTTCGCATAATCTGGAAGAAGAACAACCTGATTCTCGATCTTCAATCAGTAGATTACGGAGTTTTAAAGCACCGCGCGAGATTTATGCGACTCGCGAGGAGCATACGTATGCGAGAGCAGGCAATAACGGTGGCGGTTTTTACGACGGACATTTTTCCTGATCGTTTCCGTGGATAAGATGATAATTGAAAAACGTTCGACCTCTCTCTTTTTACCATCAAAGTTATAATGGATTCATTTAGGAAAGAAATTGGCACGTGCTCCTATACGATGGATGAAGGAACGTAACGGCGCGGGTTCACCGAGTGTCATCTTTCACGCGGCACTTTATCCGCCTGCGCGATAATACTGCGTTATCTTTTTGATTGCATTCATGTAAAAGAACCCTGAAATCAACCTCTCCCTCCTCCCCCCTCCTCCCGTACCGAACTCTCGGCGCCACCTGAATTATTCAGCAGTTACGCGGGAAAACGCGCGGCGCATCTCCTCTCTTTCGTCGACATGCCTGCGGATCAATTTTGTTTACCGCGCCGAAACCGGGTTATTGCTCCAGGCTGTGGAGCTGCTTAACAATACAATTCGCAGGCACACCTACTTCCGTGGATTGTCGTTCTGAATTATCATATGTGCCTCTAGACACACTCCTGGACATGCATTCGTTGAATTATCATAATCGAGATTGATTTTCAGGAGCATTTGGTTCTAATGATCGATCTTCCCGATAAAGTTAGAATCAATTTTTTTCCGAGAATTTCGTAAAAACACAATAAAATATTAAATTAAAAACTAAATTCATAATAATTCAATTCTTTTTCGAAAAATTTAAAAATATTTATATTAAGATAAGTGAAGTCTTATAAGTGTTAATTTTCTATGTGAAATATGGGCAATTGACAGCAAACGCAATTAAATTTAGCGTATATCTATTTATGTATATTAACATTCTGTTGATGAAAAATGAAGTTAATCAATTGTATGTTATCATTATGGCGCTCCAACAATGTTATACTTGGTGTGTTGGATCTTAACAGTTACACAGCTGGTTAAAGAGGTTATTTTCAATACTCGAATTGGTAATCATCTCAACCCACCAAGTAATGAATATTTCAAATTATAAACAGTGATATACTTGAAGATGACTTAAACAAAGTCGAAACGTTCGTATTAATAAAGAAATAATGTTATAAACTTATTATTTGGTATTATTATATATAAATAGATAAATTTAACTGCGTTTGCTCTCAATTGCCCATATCTCACATAGAAAATTAATTCTATTGAAGATGAGAGAATCTGAGAGCCTTTGTCAAATTAAAAATTTGTTTTATATCTTATAAGTGTATTTTACTCTTACTCTTCTTCGCTGCATTCAAATTCGCCCCGCGATAACGCGTGATTATGCAAGACGCATGTAATGGCTTGACGCCTGTCCTGTTGTTAAAACGAGGCAACACCAACGGAAATATCAGATGATTGCGCGGCTCCAGGACATGATGAATTGTTACCCCACTTTATTCTATTTCAGTCCATTCCCCGATAAGAGATAAGCTTTATATTTTCCCCGGACGGTATATCGTGTAGTAGTAATGGTAGGAATTACTACCCGGAGTAGTTGCACTTGTAGGTCGTTCTGCAACTTTATCTTTTCTTGACGTTTCCTTGTGCGGAGCACTTTAGAAAAGTTTCACGTTTCTTTTAATATTTTGTTGGAAACACGCTCGGAAAACTGTCGAGAATAACGTTCCTGGCGCACATTCGCACGTCGAATTCCTCATCGTACGCAGTTTCTAAGCGTTTCAAGAATGCAGCGTACACGCGAGCACATTCGCGTGTCGCATACCTTGACGTGTATCAACCAAGTTGATAGACGTTTGACGACGATCTTTTTTATCCTCTTTTTTCTCTCTTTCCCGCAGATGTCCCGTGGCACGTGGCACCGGTGGTCGGTGCTCTTGCTGCTTCTGCTCGCCACGAGATTCCTCTCCGTGCACGGCCAATGCGGATCGTACGCCCAGGATCGACAAGAGAAGCAGGACAAGCAGGACAAGTTGGCGCTTTACAAGGTCATGCTGAGGACCTACTGGTCGAGAGCGCGATTCCCACGACATTATCCGGAGTGGAAGCCTCCAGCCCAGTTCGGCAAGCTGATCGGTAAGTAGTTTGTGTGCAACGTCAATTCGCGTTTTACGAAAAAATACCCGGCAACTTTGACTCCGGAATGCGCCATAGAGTACACTGTCCGGGACAATTTTCGTAATTTTTACATCCGTTCCTCTTGATCATATTTTCAAGCACATACATATTTTGTCACCGAGAAAAAACACGTTTTATTCGCCTTCCAAAACTTGTATAGTGTATGATTAAAACATCGAAGAATTTACGATTATTAAAATAGAATAGGTTGTATTCTCTTCAGTATTTACATAAAGTCAAGAAAGGGATTTGACTTATATTATTCCTATTTCATTCATCCATCTATACCTCTCTCACATGTTGTCCTGCTTTAATTGCATGATTGCCCTATTCCTGTCTCTCTTTCTATCCTTATTATTGCTCTTTTATCTCTTACTTATGTCTTAAATATATATTATCACAGTTAATACACGTTTCTTATGTTATCATAACCATAGTATTCAATACACACAAGAATTTACGATTATTATTCTAGGATTAATGTTGCAGTCTCGGCTGCAGTTAAGGCTGGATAAAAGCCTTAAATAATTTGTGTAACTGGCGTATGGCAGAAAATCGAGCGATTCCACGTGCCAAGAGCTGTTTTTTTAAGATAGTTATCATCCAATTTAAAAGCTGATGTCTCATTTGCGACGCATTTGAATCCGGTTCGCATTTCGAGTGAAAATTGAAATGTAAAACGGCACGTCGAAAATACTTTGCCTCTTTACATACGTATCAAATGCAGTTTTAATTGAACGCGGCGTTATGAAAATTAGATTAAATCGTTCCCGGTACGATTCGAATCCTGTCGATAGCGAAAACGCGATAAAAGAACAAGATTTTTCTGATTATTTCGAATCTACACGCGATTCGCGAGCAACGCGATCATCCGCAGTCGAGCAACGTCACCTTAATGAGATCTCTCGACACTTTCTCTCTTCCTCCTGCTGACATTCGCGTTCCATCGATTCCCCCAGTGAACGACGGTCTCTCGCGCGTCACTGCCGAAACTTTAATTCGATCAAATCCCTCCAGGTCTTGCGCGATTCCGATCACGGCGAATACTTATTTCTCCCGACGGTTTGCGGACCGGTCGCGCGGTTCGGGCTACGTCAGCCTGAATCTTATTCCCCAGGTTTATTCTCTTTCGACCTCCTTTCTCCGGTGGCGCGAAGACGACGGGGGGATGAAACGATAATTGGAGAAGTTGGGAATTATCGCATGACGCCGCTAGCGTTTGCAGTCGTCTGTGATGTCGCGCCTGACGCGAATTTGAAATGTCGCTTGTGCATGGATGCCCGCGAAATGGTTGCAAAGGATGTGTATACACGAGGTGTCCCGAGAGCTACCGGTTTTCATTTAAATAATTCCTTCGACAAATTTGGGACATCCGCTATCTGAGACTTCACATTAAAGCTGTAACACAATCGAGTATTAAACGATAGATTTTGTTCACTGTTACATCGATCGCAAACTGATCAGGATATCTAATCTTGGTCGCTTTTAGTTGGACGTCACCCTGTAGACATACGAACAGGTGTCGTAAGTCTTCGTTGGTCCATAAATCCCTCGTATCCCCTCTCGCTACCAGTTAGTCTCTATAGTTTCGCGCTTTCAGTTGGTGTCTGTGGTCGCGACCCTTCGTTCTCGCCTCGCCTCACCCGGCCCACTTCCCACCTCGGCTGGCACCAACCATTCCTTTCTTCCGTCGTGAAGTCGAATAAATCCCGCCGTTAGACCTGATCCGGCCGTTTCGCCGAATGTACGAGCGTTCCGCGAGAAACCTCAAATTCGAATTAGAAAGCCGCGCGCGCGCCACCGAAATTCAATTTCCAGGCTCCAGCGGAGTCGAGAAACCGCGGTCGGCGGGCACGATATGAGGAGAATCCGGAGAGCTGCGGTTCCCTACCTTGGCCACGTTTTGTTCTTCCATTGCACCGAATCGTTTTCGTACGCTGACAGTAATGTTCTGCGACTCGAAATTACTTCCTGAAATATCTTGTTCGAACATGCGAAGCTAATAATTATACCTTTTGTACGAGCGAATTAAATAAAAAAGATTCCCTAATAAAACTTTTAGAATTAATCTCACTCTGAAAGTGAAATCTTACTCTTAAAGATTGAAAATTAAGCCACTCCTTTTCAAAACTGGCTCAATTTTCACTCTTTAGAGTAAGATTTCACTCCAAAAAGAGGAAACATTTCATCAATAACAATTAATCACAAATAATTATATTTTTATAATTCTTTTGTATAATCGAAGATGCAATAGATTACTCTTTTTTCGAAAACTTTTCTTCGAAGTTTTGTATATCTGATCGTCTAATTTTTCATATACTAAATAAACTATCTGAAGGTATTTATATTTATCTATTTTAATTACGACCGTGAAATCGATGTTTACCTTGGCGATAAGTTTAATAAGTTACTATACGTTGCAACTCAACCTGAAGTTAATTTCACAAGGATATAAATTTGCATGTAAATAAGAAGGGGCGCGACACGAAAAATAAAAAAAAAAATATATATAATATATACTCTCTAAAAGTTAATTAGTGTATTATTACTGATTACACATCAGTTACAAGTGTAGCACTGAAGTCATCAGCGAATATTTACTGTTTTTCAGTAATAATACACTGATTCACTTTAGAGGTTATGATTTTCTGTAGATTCAATCTGTAGAAACCATAACTTCTCAAAATGTCTCAGTGTATTATTACTGAAAAACAATAAATATTCGCTGATATTACAGTTATAAGTGTAGCACTGAAGTCAGTGATAATACACTTTTAGAGAGTAGATTGGCCCCGGGAAAGAGGATTGAATGTCGGTTAAATAAAAAATCGGAGAAGGGACACAAGGACTTTTTTTACGCGATACGAAAAGGCCACATCAAGTGGGCTCGAAACAGAACAGAGCGAAATAAAAGCGGCGACAAAACGTAATCGAAAATCCTTTACGCCGTTCCAGGGAGAAATCGCGGGCACGGGAAAAACAAGGCCCGAGGGGTAGTTGGGATCGGAGGGAACAGAGGATGGTAGCAGGTTTCTCTCTGCATTCCGCAGGACCTCCACGAAAGAACTTTCCGTGGATATATTCTGCGTGCACACGGACGAGTGAACACGTTCGATCGTTAACGGCCGACTAATGGAATGGAATTCGCATCGCTTCGTCCTCTCGCCGTACATACACCCCCGTCGTTTCCGCCATTCCTTCAGTCGCGCGCCTGAATCGTAAAACTGTTGCCGCGCACCGTCCGTTGCTTTTCCCTTCATGGCTCCGGTCGATTTAATTCGATTTTTTCCTCTCCTTCCGCCGCTGCTCTTCTTCTCAACCTCGGTATTTTTTTCTTCTACCTTTTTTCCCCTTTTTATCTCTAGTTCCTGAACTCCGGATTTAAGTGGAGGCGCACGCAACCACGCGCGGTCATGTTTTTTTAAAGCGTTATCGACTCTAGATACACGATATGCCGTACATTTTTTATACTTTACAGCGCGTAAGTATAAAGATAAATCTTACTTGTACTAGAAATAGTCAGATTCCTCACAGATGGTATTATATACTTATGAATTTCATAAGACAAAAATAAAACAATAATAATAGCATTTAATCGATGTTGAGCATTTAGTCGAAATGAATAATTTTATTACAAAAGGATAGTGTTTTAGTTCGCATGTATTTGCGAAAAAAAATGGTACGTTTAACAAAATCGCGTACATCGGAAATCGAATGTAAACGCATTGAAAGTCATAAATAAACTGGGTTGAAATAAATACGCATTTTGCTCTGCAGTTACGAGTTCGCAACTTGCCTGTGCAACATATTCGCCAGGAACAAAGAGACGCGCTGTTACCGCGCGCGTATCTGCAAGGCAAACACGATAATAATAGCGTCGCTAATGCACGGCAGACGCTACGCTAATGGCAAGCAAATATCTTTTTTCAGTAGCAAATTATATCAGTTAACAAGGAAAATCTTATAAATGTCTGCGTCGCTTGCGGAAACATGAAATAATTTCTGAAAGACATAAAACAATTTCGCGACACTTTTCGATCATTTTGATTCTAACGAATCTATTTTCAAGTTTAAAAATATATTTAACAATGTCAAAATCATGTCCACCTTGCTAGAATATTAAAGAAAAAAATCAGCGAAAATTATATTGGACATAGATGTATCGTTAATTGTCTGTAATAGCGCGCGTAGATAACAGCAGCTCTTTCATCATAATAATACACAAAGTGTCGCATTGACACTATATATACTGACGCAATAATCCCATAACGATGAATTATTCTCCCAACAAAAGAACACCGATCGATATTCAGATTTTTATTTCGTACGAACGGTGGGATTATTACGGCCATATGTTTTCCATAATATGTTTTATTCGGCGGCGATGATACACGTCAAAAGTTCAGGCTATTCGTGAGAGAGGAATTGTCCCGAAGCCATCAGCAAGCCAAAAGGCACTTTGGGGTATGCGAAAGTTTGCCTATTTCCCGTATGCTAATAGACTTCATAACAGCGACAGGAAAGAATGATATCCCTCGTCACCAACGGTTCGTACGACCGATAACGGACTCGTGGGATAAACGTATCGTTTCAGATACTTTATGTACTATTTCGTGGACGCGTTTTGAGGGGTATTCATGCGATACTCCATCAATCTTTAAATCCCCCGACAGAATTTCTTTGGACGTTTCAGCGTCTTCTCTCCCGTAGCGTGAATCATCCAACGCGCATAGGGCGACCCAAAAATATCTCCGGTGAGCGTCGGCTTGCGATGTAAATGTGCCTGAATACGCTAGGATAGATTCACTAACGACCACTAACTTCGATAAATAATCACTACAAGCATCCGAGAATCAAGTGTACTTTATGTCTTTTTCTTCGAGAAGAAGCGACAACATACTAATGATACGTTGTCACCATAAAACAGTATAACGTCTAAAAAATATAAATCTTATTAA